TTCATCACACTTCACAACACTACACAACACGTCAACACACTACACAACACTTCACCACGTTTCTCAACACCTCACAACACTTCACAACACCTCACTACACTTCACCACACCTCACAACACTTTATCACACTTCACCATGATTTATTACCCTCACCACACTTCACAACACTTCAAAACACTACGCAACACTTCACACTTCACCACACTTCACCACACTTCACCACACTTCAGTACCACACTTCACAACACTTCACCACACTTCACAACCATACTTCACCACACTTCACCACACTTCACCACACTTCACCACACTTCACAACACTTCACCACACTTCACCATACTTCACCACACTTCACCACACTTCAGTACCACACTTGAAGCTTAATTTTTGTCTTGCGCATTTCGCCTATTAAAACGTTCAACCAATTTGCATATCCAGCGAGGAATAAAATACTATATTAAGTCGTTCTACATTCTTGCTGTACAAATGGTTGGTCTTTTGTGGTGAGTTCTCTGTCTCTCTCTGTCTCTCTCTGGCTGTGTCTCTGTCTCTTTGTCTCTCTGTATCTTTCTGGCTGGCTCTCTCTCTCTCTCTCTCTCTCTCTCTCTCTCTCTCTCTCTCTCTCTCTCTCTCTCTCTCTCTCTCTCCCTCTCTCTCTCTCTCCTCTCTCTTCAGCTTGTTTAAATCCCTAATTTCATCTGTCTCCTCATTCCTACCACACACACACACACACACACACACACACACACACACACACACACACACACACACACACACACCAAGGCGACACTCTCTCACTTTCTCTCAGTCTCTCTCACGCACTCTCTCTCTCTCTCTCTCCGCTTTTAAATGAGAAAATTACACAAGTTTGACGCCCCATCTGTGTATGAAAATAAATACACCCACTTGAGTATAATAGATGCCTATAATATACACGCATGCTGGGTATACACTCTCTTGTATACGAGATGGTAATACCCACTTGTGTATAATACATAATCTACCATATGTATATAAAGCTATGTATACTTCTCGTGATCAAGTTGGTAGATGTATTTTAAATTAAAGATTCTTATAGTATACATTTCTATACGTATATTATGTTGTAAAGCTTCATATATTTGAGATTTATACATGAATTTATTAATTGAGCTGTATGATGTATTTTGCTTCCATATATACAATACATTACATACATACAGTTTTAACCACTCATAAACACACACACGATATTAAAGTGAATTTGTTTGTTTGGGGATGAGAGGGGAAAGAAGAGGGAGGAGAGGGGAGGACATGGCATAAGAGAGGGAAGAGAGGGGAAGAGAGAAGAGAGGGGAAAAGAAGGAGGAGGGAAGGATGAGAGGGGAGGAAATGTAGAGGGAAGAGAGAAAGAGAGAAGAGGGGAAAAGAAGAGTGGAGGGAAGGATAGGAGAGGGGAGGGACATGGCATAAGAGAGGGGAAGAGAGGGAAGAGAGAAGAGAAGGGGAAAGAGTGAGGAAGGAGAGGGGATGAAAGGGGAAAGAAGAGGGAGGTAGATAGAGAGGGAGGAAATGGAAGAGAGGGGAAGAGGGTAGTGGAAAGGGACCACCAACCAAAACATGAGATAGACAGATAGACAGACAGACGGACGGTGACAAGACAGACAGACAGACAGACAGACAGACAGACAGACAGACAGCAGACAGACAGACAGACAGACAGACAGATAGACAGACAGACAGATAGATAGACAGAAGCTCAAATAAACAGAGAGAGTTAATCGAATCCATCAACTTAGACCCATTATAAAAACCAACAAAAAAAGTATATTTGAAAAACATTTAGGCAATATATTAGTGTAACGCCTTAATAGTTGATATATTTCACGGTGATATATATACACATACAGGTTGAGGTAATGTGTACGTCACCAACAGTAGGCCCGTATATATGTAAACTGGTTTTATATTTTTCCCACAGCTGGAGAGTTGTGTTTTGTATAAATTTCCTTACTGGTCGGGGAAGTTAGGAAATAGTGAATAAATTCTTTTCCACAGCTGTGAAGTTGGAGATAATGTATATATTTCTCCTTAACTATAACACTTTTGAATATTTCCTTATCCCTGCTTTCTCTCCTTCTCTCTCTCTCTCTCCTCCCTCTCCCCCTGCTCTCCATCTCCTACCATTTCCCCTGATCCTTCCACCTCCCTTCCAAGTCCCCCTTCTGACCTTCTCCTACCACCGCACCTCCCTCTCTCCTATCAAGCCCCCTCTCCCTGACCTTCTCCTACCACCGCACCCCCTCCCTCTCCTTTCAAGCCCTCCCTCTCCCCTGACCTTCCCTACCAACCCCTCCCTCCTCCTCCACAACAAATTCAGATATTTCAGACACACAATACCGTGTTAATATCATCTATGTTTATATAACCCGCTTTAAGCCTTCATTAACACGTATGTCTATCGTCAAATATTTATTTTTTCTTTCTAATTTATTTTGTATTTTATTCTGTAATTTAGTCTGTAATTTATTTTTGTTTTTTTATCTATATATTTTTTTTTAACCTATGAGATATTAGTTACAAAATTCAACATTAGCGTGTTGTATTTTTTATTCAGTATATTTTTTTGCAATGAGATATTACAGTTGTAGGAAATTGCTGTATTCTGCGACACTAAAAAAAAATATTATTCATGTTACTTTTTTTGGAACTTGTCATAAATGTTTTTTTTTGTAATTTTTTTTTTGTTTATGTATTTGTTCAGATGGGTTTATCGTGTTTTGTCTTGTCGATAACTTTGTTTTTTCTGTTTTTGTCTCTCTGTCTGTCTTCTATCTCTCCCCTTTCCTCCCCCTCAATCCTATCTTCCCTCCCCCCCCTACCTCCCCCACTCCCTCCCCCACCCTTCAGATCTCTCCTACAGCAGTAAATCATTGATATAATCCCCGAGTCGTCCGCCTGTGTCGCCCCCGGCCTGCTGCTAAACTGACACTTGGATATATATATAACTTCCAGGTCACGTCTATTGCTTCCTCCAGGTCACCAATATTATTTCCAGGTCACCTATATCATTTCTAGGTCATCTATATAGTTCCCAGGCCATCTATGTTATTTCTAGGTCACCTATATTATTCCCAGGTCACGTCTATTGCTTCCTCCAGGTCACATATTTTTTCCAGGTCACGTCTGTTGCTTCCTCCA